TTTGGAAGCTACTTAATTGTACACTTTCTGGCAGTTTGCGTGTGTAATCGTCATACTTCCACCATTCTTCCCAGTGTATTTTGTTTTGGTCCGACACACAGACACGTAAAAGTTCTGTTCACGACATAAAAAAACGCGACAATTAGCTTGCATATATTTGAGAAGTTATATATGCGTGAGGAACGCACAGATTTTTCAATTAACTTCAAAATCAAAAACGTATTTAAAGCTTTCCCAAATCACCTATAACGTGTCTATCGAAATGAAAGCGCCGAAACACATTTGCGAACATCTTTCAAATAATTTGAAAGCGCATTGACTTATATATTTTTGAGGTGAGGATCTTCTGTTTATGTTCCCAAATCTTCAGACAGGAATTAAATATATTTTTATTATCATCGATAAATTTGACTTTATGAAGTCCACTTAACCGCCTGAGACCGACACGGAAGGACGATACTCGAAAATACGCCAGCTGTTGAGTCTTCGGAAACGTGCTTTTGTTAGCTGTTTTGCAGTGTAAAATACTGGGTTGCAGGGTATGCCAAAAAAAGACTGTGGTCACATGATATATCGGAAGGCAAATACACGAAATGTGCAGAACGAAGGAGATGACAGGTAATTTTTTCTAAATAATTCCTTACACAACGCTTTACTGTAAAAAGAGATGCATAGAAATGCACAGAATGATATTCCTAATTAAACATAAATTGCACGCTGGGCAAAAGAAGATTCTTAGAATCCTAACATAAATCACATTTGGGCATCACCTTGCCTCAGCTCGAAACTTTGCGAAATACTGCCTCGGGAGGCTAATGTTATCTTAGGTTTTACCTGCACTTGTTTTGGGACCTCAATTCACAACCCTGTTTTTTATCACTCATGCGCTCCAACATTTCATTAGGCTGCCGTATATCATCGCGAGACTGCTATAAATACTACACAACTTTACACTTTGGACGACTACTGCTAGTGTTGCGAACGTCGCACTTCACCGGAAAGCTGAAGTGTTTAGCATGGTTTGCACGTGACGTACTCGCACTATATGCTGGTTGTCATTGCGAGTTGTTCTTGCTGAGAAAATCAAAACCGGTGGGGCAAAACACACGCGGGAAAAGGTTCGCGCTCAGTGAAAGCTATGTATTTGAGAGGCAGACACTTTTCTTGTTGGTGCATTGTCGTTAGGCACGGCGCGAGTATCTGGCACGACGGAAACGTGCTTTCTGGAAAGAGTGTTTTTGCAAATAAAAGTTGTACCAACTACCCATCTGTCACTATCGTTTCCAGGCCACGCTTTCTGGTCTGCGCCGAAAATGCGGGGCAGAGGAACTTAAAACTACCCCCCCCCCCCCCTTTCACCGCTCCCTTTTCTTTTTTTCTCTTTTAGTTGCTCCTCAAGAGAATACATTTTACTCTTGAGGGATTGCCTACTCCGTATTGAGTGGTGTTCGTTCGACAATGAGATTTGTGTCACTTGTTAACAGTAATTCTTCCTTTCTTTTACTTCGCACCAAACTGTGAAGTTTAAACAAAATGCAGGGCGGTCGAAACTTGGCGAACTTGAGAACGACACTCCTGTGAGACTTAGAGCGGCTGCCAACGTTCGGCTACCCCCTGAGGCCACTATAGGATCTTTCTTTTCAGGTATCCCTCCCGTACACACTAATAGTTGTACGTAACGTTCGACTAATACGTCACATTTAAACCTTTCCACACTTTTATTCTGGGGACAACTTTCTAAGGGAGTTAAGCAACAACGAAATCATGTTTGGGAGCCTCAATGGTGTGTATACATGTAAATTGGGCTGTAGAGCATTTTTTTATCACCTTAAGTTCAGTAGATACCACTACGATGTAATCCCTGACGTTGATAACTTTCAAAAACATCCATTAGTTTGCCCCTCCGCGAAATGCCAGACGCAGTAAAAAAAAGAAATAAAACAGCTTTCCCCTCCTTAACTCGCAATTAGAACTATCAGCCACGTGATCTGATGCTAATTTATACACCGTCAGTGTTTATCATAGTCCTACGCAGGGTTTGCAAAGCATAGAGCGTGGGCTGATCTTCAGATATAGTTTTAGTTGGGCTATAATGCCCGAGTCCCACTAATGCGACAAACAGAAACAAATGACAGCGGCAAGCCTCAAATCAGAGTATTTCGCGATTTGACAGGCTTTGTAGAATAAAGAAGGCTATGCTCAAACACCAGCATCATGCGCGCGAGGGTACCATTAGCAGGCTTGTAACCACTCGTGCTGACTTCACGAGCACCGAACGACTCAAAGCCGTGTAAAAGTACCATCGCGAGCATACTGCATGTGTCTGAGGCTTGTCGCTGTCGTTTGTTTCTGTTTCTAGCTCTAGGGGGACTCGGACCCATTATAATCTTTGAGTTGAACACGAGCCGTTGCCCGAATGTTTGGCGATGATGGTAGTCATGAAGCAGAGCATTCAACTCGGGGTCATGACAATCGGGTACATCATCGTGTCCCGTGACTCTCAGTGCGAAGTTGTGCTGTCATGTGACGTCACGGTAGCAACAACGTTAGTGTGTCTAGTGATGTTATCAATTTGAATCGACTTAACGAGGTGAGTCACGTGACGTCATGGAGTCACGTGATGTGACATTACTTGACAGCATGTCTTGACATCATGACGTCACGTGACCACGTGACACATGGTTAATCATAGTGCCAATAAGAAAGCGCCGCAAAAACCCAGGATTTATTATACATTGCAATTCTCTATATGACGATTTCATCAATACGTAGAGTAATACGCGTGCCAATTTTTTATTCCCAAATATTAAATTTGTAATACTAACAAAAAAAGTTAAAAACACCGTGAACCGTTTTGAACCGGTTACCGTTATATTTTTTTCCGGTTCAGTTCCGGTTCAGTTCCAAAATGGCGGCGAAGATTTCGGTTCGGTTCCGGTTTTCGGTTCGGTTCGGTTCCGGTTCGACACCCTGGAGGTAGTACACGTGCGATCCTTGCGGTGTCAAGTTCATAGGGCGGTGGGGTCATGATTTTTTGCTAGTGCGTGGTCCATTACGTCAGTGTTTGCGGTTTCCGTCTATGTAAGATTTGTATAAGTGCGGTTCCTGTTCGTAACGTTGGCTTTCACCTTTATACTAAGGGTGTTTTGGTAAATCGTTAGGGTATAGCCCTGTGACGAGCAGATTTAATGTCTTAAGTTTAAATATTTCCGAATGCACGCTGTCAGGTGCACGTTTCTGTCTGGTGTGTGTACGGCGTCTTTAAAAATGGAACCTTGATTTCCGCCTGATGATGTCATAGAAGTGTCACGCCGCTGCTTGCCGCGATCGTGTCGGTTGTACCCCAGGAATGCAGCAGACGCTTGTCCTGCTGTAGGTCGCTCTGCAACGAGATAACAAATGGATACCAAAGCGGACACAAGACAGGACGCCTCGACGACAGCAAAGGTTGCGTCCGGTAGCCTTCTTTGCCAGAATTTCTTGGATCGATCACCAGAATTGCAATATTCACCAGTATGACACACCGGATCGTGTAACGCACTTTGTTGACACTTCGGTATTGCTTTCGATGGAATAGGGCGGTGAGCACGCAATTCAGAAACTGGTCCAAGGCAGCGTAGTCGCACCGCTTTGTCAAGCAGATCTACTGCAGACATTTGCGAGCAGCCACACTTTAAAAGCTAATCTGGCCACCGTGGATAGAAATGCTTTGTTTGGTCGCCAGGTCTGAAAAACTAGAGACGCGTTACGAAGGCTTGATTATCAGACGATCTACAGGCGCCCGCCCCAAGGGGGTGACTTCCAGAACTCATATCTGAAAACGTAGAACGTCCCTGATACGACAAGAAGCTCAGGGCGTCTCTTTCAGTTGCCCGGAATTGAGCATGCACTCGTTGCCTTCCGTAGTGCTTCTGCTGCGCGTCTAGGCTCGAAGTTCACGAGACTGAGAATGATTGTCGATGGTACCAAGGTGAAACTGAAGACGCGACAACTCAGAGGCCAGTCTGCCGTTCTTAACCTCTCAGAATGCTCTGGGGCCGCATCAGTCAAAAAAAGAAAAAGTGAGTACTGCTGCTTTCGCAAAAATCACTTAAAACCTGTAAAAAACAAAAAGAAAAAAAAAACGTGTGTGTTTTGTTGCAGGCGCCGCCGAAATACGATAACATTTCTAAGTTCCTTCGATGATGGGTGCATTCCGCTGATTAAATTGGAACGGACCTCGCTCTTTCACTTAGTCCTTGGCCGTAGCAGAACGCGCCATCCTGGTTTCTGTGTCTCTTGCTGAACGATGCTCTCCGTTCGCCGCCGTAAAAAAAAAAAAAAAAAAAAAAAAAAACGAAAAAAAAAGAAACAACGTTACATTAAGATGATACTCAAAATTTGCTTTAGCCTGGACATAAAGTTTTTGATGTCGTGACACTCAAGATCACGGCAGCACGACAAGAATTGCATCCGCGGTTGAGTACGGCTTGTTGCACAGTGTGTCTAGACTGCGGAAATGCTTTATGTGGTCTTCCCAATCGCAGAGCTCTCTCAGGGTAGAGCTATGATGGAGCTCCCAAAGGTTCATCACTTGAACAATCTGTCAAATAAATAAGCTTGCCCCCCCCACCCCCCTAAAAAAACAAAAAAAAAAAGAGAAGAAAACGCTTGTGACTATTGGTTAGAACCACGTCATTAAATCGCCAAATCTTGTAGTACCTGATTTTAGCATTGAGAAATCTCTCTTTCAGGATATAATTCTTTTAACGACAAAATATTTGTTGGGAGATATTTTTTATTAGTTCACACCCTTCCTTAGAAAAACGCCCCTGCAACTTTTATTTTGGTACATTCAACCACTTATGTCTGAACTCACAGATCCTAAAAAAATTGCTCGATTAAAAAAAAGAAAGGTGGGTTAGAAAATGTTTATATTTTGTTAGTCTTCATATTTTTCAAACTGGCACCACTAATTTCCGTATTTTCTTTGTTGTAACTATGAACGACCTAATTTCCAGGTTCAAGCAGCTGTGCTTGCCTTAGGTGTAAGAGAATCATTCGTCTTCACCTTCAGCGTACGCAACTTCGGCAGGCCCGAAGAGCAGAGAGTCGCCCTTTTCAACCACATGAAGCGTTCATTCGACAGCATCTGTAATAATTGGTAAGTTAGTTATGAACTACTTTTAATCTCAGCTTTAGACTTGCGAGTCCCAACACTAAACCATAATCGACGACTTGCGATGACAAATGAAAACAAGATAGTAATCTCTTGTGTAGTTTGTTAATGTCATCTCAAAATAAACAGCAAAACTCGAGCAAAACCCCCAGGTTTTGCTCGAGTTCTGCTGGTTTATTTGTTAAAGCGTGTTGATTGGAGTCTGCGAGGTGAAAAGGAAATATGCAAAACGGCATGTACCTTTGAAATGAGTCCAAATAAGTGAGCGGGTGTTGAACATCCATTTGGTAAAGCCCGTGATTCCCTTTTATCGACGAAGTGGGGTGTAAACAAATTTGTATGACGTACCCAAATGATAAGCCAGTATTTTATTAATAAAATATTTCACAGAGCTTCATTACGCCGGCCGTGTTAGTGTTGAGAACAAACCATCTAGGGTGCGTGTAGCCTGCCCTAGTTTTGTGCAACACACATGCAAAATATGTGGTTTACGCTGAATAGATTTTTTTCCCCAGGTCTGTGTCCGAGTGATTAAGGTAGTGTGAATTCGTATGAGATATGATGCAACTATCGCCCTACCGCAGAGCTTCACTCTGCGCAGCCTCTCCTCGCCCACCTGTTTTGTGTGCGTTGCTTGTCCGTCTCTTGAGCCACTTATCTCTGCAGCATAAAGACAAATAAAAATCGCCACTTACCTCAGTTGGTATCATATGCACGTCCTACTTATACGACTTTTAAATGTATCGTATGGACTTGTAGGCTTTATCATTTTACTTAGAACGTTGTGCAACGAACGCATATAACATTGCTACGTTTCGGTTTTCTCGTGAAATTCGGCTTATAAAGCACACTCTGAATTAAAAAAAAAAGCGAAACAATTAGACAAAACCTCTCTCTTGCTTTCACAATTTAGGGAATTCTACCAGAAGAAAGAATGGTCCTTTAGGACTCGGGGAGACATCGAACGGTTTCCCAAGGAATTGCATAAACGCGCGGCCAAGATGGAGTTATTGACTCATCAAACAAGGTTGGTTTTTCGTTTACCATAGATTCTGAGATTGCGGAAGTATTCGTATCAATGAAAAAGTGCTGTGTCATTAATAGCTTCACGACGCCAGAGGGGCCCACGACGCGGGTGAATGGAGGGCGTCTCCGTCCGACTGGTGTGTTTAGCGCCACAATCCGCCCTTGCATCGAAAGGGGTCCCGGTGTGGCAGCAAAAGACGCCAGAAAATCGAGAGTGCCATGCTGTCGGGTGTCGCGATCCTGGCTGCTGGTCGTAGAAATGTGTAAAGGGATAAAACGAGCGTCTTGTAACTATAAATAATTAAAAACGAAATAAAAAAAAAAAGTTGCGAACGACCGCAAAAAGTGGGCTTCGCTTGACAGTGGTAGCTGCTGCGTTGTAGACAGGCGTGTTGAAGGAGATTTTCTCTCAGCCAGTGTGTTGTACTATGTTTGCATTGAGTTCTTTGCTTTCAATGGAACTGATGTAGTAGATATCTCTCGGGAGGTGTATGCTTTGGTGGAACGATTGTCCGAAATGTGGCATGTGTTGGAGAAGAACAAAATTACGTGTTTCTTTGTTTTTTTTTTGGCCTGAACGTGACCACGGGGGAAGAAGCGAAAGTACGTACGCGAGGTGTTTTGTAGAAGTGTTGAGAAAGAACGGAACCTGGGTGGCAGCAGTGGGAAGGCGACGGAGCGTGACCGCAAAGTGCGACCATGTGGGAATTTTCCAGTGGTGGCTACCACAGCCGCCGTTGCAAAATACCCAACACCTTTCCCACTTTTTATTCGTTGGTGACGCGTTCCCACCACATTTTTGTTCGATTTTTAACTCGCGAGTGGGTTAAACATCTCTAATGGGCTCATTGCGCGCAAGCTACGTCCAATCATCAGCGGAGAACGCTCCCGCTCTCACTTTGGCCAAAATCGGACCCCAGTTGAGGACGTGCTCCGGGCATTGTTCCTGAATCGAGGGCTCTGATTTACTAAATTGTCGAGGTCACTGATTCGCCTGAATGATGGCAACGGGCATGCAGTCAGCTTTGACTCCCACTGAGACCACTATTCGACATTGTTCTTCACTTTCTTTTGCTCTAATCCGTCTTTCTCTTGCCACCGTCTTGTATTTTCCTAGATAGTGTTATATTTTGAGAAAACGATACTGTTTTCGAACAAGACAGGGTTTGTCTACACCAGGTGTGGGCAGTGCGCGCTCCGAAAAAACCCTCTACGCACGAAGTGAGTACATGCACCATTCCGACCACAGCGTCACCGCAGCAGCGGCTTGACGACATGACAAGGCCGTGTGTTGGTGTGTGGAGGCGTTCATTAAACGGGCGAGTAACAAGGCGGTGGACCGTAAAAGGGCACAGAAAGAAAAGAAGACGAGTGCGAAAGGGTGAAAACGAAGAAATCGATTTTATAAGGGCCACTCTCAGTGACTCAAAGATTGGTCACTCGCTGCTCGTTCGGGAAGGCGATTAGTGTCAATGAATTCACCCCCCCCCTCCCCCTAAAAAAGGCGATTGCCTTCTTTTGAGCTTCATCTGGAGACTAGCTGGATTGACTTTTACCACCATCGTGTTAACCATCGTTCAAAGAGAGACTCCCGTGTTTCCCCAAAGCCATACTCCTGATATGTCACACGAAAGACAGTGTACAAACACAGCCTGACAAGTGTGTTTGAATGAAGGTGCTGCCATACTCTTCTTGAGAAAATGGCTGCAGACGTGTTCAAAGTGTACATACGTGTGAAGCAAACATTCTTAGAACATTCTTGAGACATGTCTGCAGCAAACGCCGCCGCGTCTTTTGCGGGACGTACAAGCAGTGTGAATCCGGCTGTAGAGGGCCGTTTAAGTAAAAGCTAAATTGCGCGGCAGCGCGGAACTAATATTGTTTGATACCCACTTTCAGTGCCAAATCAAACATGTATTCTTGCGGACCTTACGAATCACGTCATCAAATTACCCGGATGGCTGTTACCTTGTGCCACGCCGTAAGGGACGGACTTCTGGAGCCCAGGTGAGGAGTTGATATGCTGTAGTTTCTTCGTTGTCTATTACAAAATAGGCCGTCGTCAGAACCGTTTACTAGGGTAGAACCTAAGGGGTGCTTTTTAAGCCTTTTCCGACACCTTCCTTTGTGTGGTTTTAGATTGTGGCCAAGTACAACGGATAATAAAAATATTTTATTAAGAAGAGAGACAAAAACAAAAACAAAAATACAGCACTTGCATCCTCTGACTCTCAGCATCATGGGCAATAAATGCAAAATCTAGGAGAACACAAAAAGCGATCACGTTTTGGAAGTTTTGTTTTTATATAGAACCATGCCAATCTGGATTTTGAAGAAGTGTGATGCAAAAAAGAGGCTTATTTATAACTGGTTACCATAACTGGTAACTGGTCAACTGCAATAATTGCCAGACGGTGTTTATATGGTGTGATTTTCCACCTTTTCAAAAACAAATATAAAATGTAAAAAAAAGAGAAATGGCGTTATTCGGTGAATACTTAAAATATTTCATATATTAGATAAGTGATAGGTATGAAGTCAGATGTAATATCTTCATAATTATTTATTACCAGCGAAAACAAAATGTCATCTAATAGCTTAGCTTTATGATTACGCAGACACATTTTTTTATTGGCTTAGCTGTTAACGGTTGGTATATTACAAGACTATCTATATCAGGCAAAAGTGCACTGGTGAGAGAGTTTGTAGTTTCGTAGATTAGCCAAAAATCTAGAATCAAATCCTGGGCCTCCGCCCAGGATTTGATTCGTGGGAATTACGCGTCTTTTATTTATTCTTTTAGTTTAACTTTCTGGTAAATTCGAGAACCCCGTTGATTGTTCAAGGTCCGAATATTCCAGTCACCAAAACGTCTACGCCGATTGTTCTAGGAGCCAACGCGTGTACATAAGGGGCTCCGCTTGGCTAGCCGGAGTCAGTCTCGCCCTAGCGTATGATCCTGCTGTTTCGCCGCCATCGATGCCTGCGACGCTAACCTTTATCAATTTTCTTTTGGGCAGAAGTTCGCCCCTTTAAACGTTTAGTTTGCTTCAGTTTTGTCGCCTCATCAGTGACAATATTAACAGGTGAATGGAAAGGTGTAATTCCTAAGCAACGGTTTAAGTTGTGAAACGATAGAATTGTTTTCACGTATTCCACAACGTGACACTTGAATTTTTTTTAACTAAAAACTTTTAGGTTTAAATTATTTTAAAGCGCAGTTTATTACAGGAAATGAGCTATCTCATGTATAGTATATTCGTTGAAATAGTATATATACCTATTCCCCTCTCTAAAAATTGGTCCAGTTCAAATTAAACCAGCCATGTTAAAAATTGTAGAAAAATTGTGTCATTCGAACTAAAAAAAAAAAAACAAAGAAAACCGCATCTCCACGTGGTGAATGAAATTGATTGGGCGAAGCTCTGGTGGTGCTTGTCTGCGTAGACGGTGAGCCGCAGCATGCCGAGCCTTTCGTTCGTTTTCATCCATGTCACGCTGCGGTTAAATGCTCAAATGCGTATATAACCACGTTCCATACCACACATTCTCTTTCTGACATGGATGAAAACGAACGAAAGGCTTGGCATGCTGCGGCTCACCGTTTACGCAGACAAGCACCACCAGAGCTTCGCCTAATCAACATCATTCACCACGTGGAGATGCGGTTTTTTCTTGAGCACGGGAACACGTGCTCACGTGCTCGTGAGCACTTTAGCGCGTGAGCTCACGAGCAGGAGCACGTGCACCCGACGGCGGACGGACATACGGAGATGGCTAGCCCCTAAGGAGCTTCGCCCCTAAAAAATCTCCGAAGTAAAGTAAATTTACTGATTGGCAAACGCGATTAAATATAGCTGCAAAGTACTCGAGAAATGAGTTAAATTGCTGTAATTGAATTACTACCCGAGTCTGCCCTCTATTATGACACCTTTTCTTTTTGTTCTAACATTTGTATACGTTCCCTCCCCCCCCCCCCCCCCCCCGTCCCCTCCCCAGGCCACTAGTAACGCCACAACTTTTTTCCGGCGAAAAAACAAACAAAAACATTTATAGGTTTAGTCAAGACTGCTCCACTTGATGAGTTCGAGTGAAGGATAAACGTTCTCAAGAGAAAAGCTCACCGCAAGACTTCCGGATACGGAGGATAGCTCACCGGCCTTTTGATGGGTTCGAAGAAAGAGCTCACATTGCATTTGGTATCTACGCGAGGTGGTCGTTATTATTCTAAAGCAGTATCGCAACCAACACTGCTGGTACTTCCCCGCTCCTGGCCCAATTTTTCGCCAGCTCTCTTTCCCTTTCTCTTCGCCTAACTTTAATGCAGTAATTTCAATATTAACTTTCTCCCTTCTTCCTCCACAATATTACTACGGCTGCTACTTGTCAACCGTACCTTACTACCAATGCGTACATTCATATATATATATATATATATATATATATATATATATATATATATATATATATATATATATATATATATATATATATATATGTTAATTAATTAGCCGACTTATCGCAAAGATTAGCCACCCACATAATGTCCGCCTGGCCGTATAACCCACCTGCACAAACCGCTTTACTGTAGCTTTCACGGTTTTTTTTAAACAAATGTGTAGGAATAAAAAAAAACACCCTGTATATATTGCAAGTAAGTTAAGATTTAAAGCAATATTTGAGTGCCGTCGACATTTCTTGGGGCACGAAGCGTGTGCTTGGATCCGAGTTCACGCTGTACGCTGTCGCAACCCTCGCGTTCATAACAGGATCAGATCACGTGCCCAAACAATGGCCGACTCGAATAATTCGCTGATAACAGATGGCGCGCGCTTCTCGAAAGGATTCGGTTTTATCGCAGTGTGTGGTCGATGGGTCGCATTCTATCAGGACGAGCGTCACGAACGAGTGACTCGATGGGAGCGTTGCAAGAGAGGAAATAGACTACTTCCATAAAGCCCTGCATGCAACACGGCGCGCGTTGCACTCTGGGAACTAGTTATCCAGGGAGGAGGGTGGCATGATTTCGGTTTCGATCGACACGTCGACAAGAGATTATACACACAGCGTGTTCTCATGTTTTCTGGTCCCGAGCGCGTCATTTGTGGTCTCTAAACTAACCTAAATGGCCAGACCGCGAAGCTTTAGCACAAGCCTAAGACGTATAACTTGTCTTAACAGATGCTTGTTGTAATTTTGTACTTGAGCCTTCCTGTTAGCGTTCCAATCGAGGTATGTGGACGAGCCAGTGCTGGGAGTCTCGACGCTGCGAAGCTCGGGGATCTTGCTTGTGTGCGAATCAACAAGCTGTGGCAACCAATAAGTATGCATACATCGAGCTCGCGCCTTTACATTAGTGTTGTTTATCAGGAAGTTTTTTGTTTTATTTTTCGTGCGCCCATAGACGAAATATTACTTTTTGCAATTACTGGTTTTCGTAATATGCCTGAGTATGCGAGGTAAAACTTGGAGGCGCAATTGAAAAGCTCAATTTTAACACACTTCTTATCTCTTATCTGTACTGACCCGCAGCACTGCACAAAGTGGTCCCCACCCGCTTGCATTCCACTTGCATTCAACATCGCGTATGCGCATAAAGTTACCCTGCAATCATATAGGAAAATTCGCACATACAGACCGTTTTAAGAAAGCAAAAGTCGAGCACTTGTGTGAAGAATGTCGCACCGTTCACCGGAAGTGCGCCGTACGGGCATGAACCCCTATGCGGTGCGTCAAACGAAAGAATTCAAAGCGCATTTGACGGTTGCGAATGGCCATAATATTTGTTATGTGTTTGCTTTCTTCCTGCCTGAGTACGCCGAGATAATTTCAGACACACCGTTCAGGCACAGATCTTGGGCGTCAGTAAAAGCTCGTCCAAAGAGGCTTAGCGAGGAGTAGGGGACGCTTGTTAGGGCCTCCGTCGTAGCTAGCCGATCTCAGCGTTTGCGAAAAGTTAATCTGCTATCAGCATAAAATTTGAGTGTGAGATATGTGATGACTCGAGGAAGACATCATAGTAACTTTTGTTCAGTAGTGAGGTCGAATTTATTGCGTTTCCTTAGAAGTTCATGCGTAAACGTTGGGCTCAACTTTGATACCCTGTGAGGATGCGGCTTGCTTTTCGCCCAATGAAGTAAGAAGCGGACGTTTGGCAAAAAAAAAAAAAAAACAAATACGTGTAAGGCTCCAGATGAACAAATTTCAGTTCTAGTTGACTGGTACTAGACGGAATTATTGAAATTGAGCTCGGACATGCACTCGTGGGGTGAGGTGACTAAGCCACGACTTACTACGTTTGCATACGCACGCACAGTATCCGGTGTTTCGGGGACCAAGAAAAGTGCCCCGGTCTTCGTTTTGTATCGCTCGAGAATGAGTGTATTGTACGTTCGTGAAAAGTCAGATTAATCGAAAACGCAAGCAGCGCGTTTGGTCGTGGTGTGATAGCATGAGATGAAGCTGCTCAGTCGAAACCGAAACTGAGTGGCCAACTAGTTCCCAGAGTGCACTGCGGTATTTCGCCGCGTTGGGGCGCGTCGGTTTTGGAAGAAGTCCATTGTCATCGTGACTTGACGTCTCGTGACCTCTACACCAATCCAGCTTCCGCCTAAAATTTATCGGGAAAGATGAATTGTAAGAGGATGTGGGGAGGAAGAGGAGGGTCCAGAGGGTGGGGGAAGGAGGGGAAGAGAAGCAGGTGGAGAGGGGAAGAGGGGCACTGTAGAAGCAAATAATTTACGAGGGGGAATGCAGGACACTCCCCGCGAATACAATAGCTTCGGGGACGACAGGTTTTGCGCACTTTGAATGAGTGGATGTGTCATGGCGTTGCCGTTTTCCCCTTTATGATCGGATGGTGACTAGCGCCGTCTCTCGGCACGGGATATTTTACTACCTGCCGAACTTCTTTCAGTGTGTGCACGCTGTTCGGTCGCGGCGGCGTAGGTCGTCTGTTGAATTTAAAAACCTGCGGACACTTCTTTGGTGACTCATTTAAGGGCGCGTATACGTAGGATGAGCTCTATGTCTACGTTGTGTTATATAAACCGCACGCATGTAGCTCGATCAGCGAGTATCGAAATTTGTACGGGCGGTTTTGAAAGATGTTGTAATAAGTGTGGTTAATCGTAATCGCACTTCAAAGCAGTACAGAACAACTAATATTAAGGAACTATGTCGACACGAGAAGCACGTTTAACAGGCAGAGCAATGTATTGTCATATACTTCACAGCAAAGTATTTGTACTATGATTATCGCTAAGGCTCCCGATAAGGCACTTTGAGTAAACGACCCTATTTTCGCGAGCTCGGTATGTCGAGAATTTCCCAAAGTGGTGGTTTCGGGAATGTCTGGCTGGCGCAAAATTCTTACATCAGGAGTGGGGTTCTGTGTGTTAGATATGAGACGATATAACCCAGTGATCAATTTCTCGCTATTTTCAAATTGCGAATAGATGGTGCTTTGCAGCAGCCCAAGGCAACAGAAAAAATATTCAGAAAGTTGGGAATATTTTTTTATTGCTTCGTGGATAGTCAACATTATTCCTAACAGACCATGCTGGCCTTGAACAAAATTGGTTTGGATTATTTTAGTATTTCTACAATAATAATTGAAGGTGCAAACTCAGATTCCACTCATAAATGTCATTCGCCAATTTTTTTTGTTGGAACAATATTTATTGCACATTGAACAAATATGTACAGCTTTCCATTCAACAAACACAGATCTCTGTTTACACAGACAATAACGCTTTGAACAAATATATACATCTCAGCATTCAACAAACACGGATAATATATATATGTTACACACACATCTTGAAAAATGTCAGCATGAGAAGCTCGACGCCGAAGTTGTTTACTTACGTGATTTGATCTGGCGGGAATCGAAAGAATGACAGGTGTTTGCCCTGCAAGGCGAGGTTCTTGCAATGGAGAACGGAGCACACTGCCCTTCTCTACAGAGTGTCATCTGTAGAGAAGGACGCTGGCATCAACATGCGTGACAGGTGGCGCAATGGTGGCCGCTGATAGTCATCGCGCCCGGCCTAGCCCGGCGCCCGCGTGATCGCCCGCCCGCGTTTGGCATCGTCGGTGACGCATATCGGCCACGTGTTCTGGCGGGAAGAGAGAATGGGAGATGAGGGGAGAGAAAATAGAGAGAGGGACACACCCAAATTATCCCGCGCCACCAGGGAAGGAATCGGCGCGGCCATCGCTCCGTTTAATGCAAATAAGCGGAGTGTCCTGTATTCCCCCTAGTAGAATATTTGGTAGGAGGGGGAGGGGGACGGATTCGATAAGGGAATAAGAGGGAGGGGGGAGAAGATTTGGGAAACGATACAAAATTAAATAAATGAATCAAATAAAAGGATAAAGAGGTGCGCGTCGTTGGTGCGGGAGACATCCTGTGCTCCCTGGTTTTCGTTCGTCATGATCAGGCTTGCGCAATTTGTTTTTAGTCTCCGTCTGAGCTATTGTTTCGGTTCCAGCGATATCACCGAATGCCTGATTGACGCTTACAACGAGATCGAAGATTGCCCCCATGTCGAATGTTACCTGCGGACATCTGGCGAAAGAAGACTGAGCGATTTCATGACCTGGCAGACTGATCGTGCGGCCATCTACTTTGAAAAGAAGAATTACCCGGACCTCGGATACTGGGACATGTTCAAGATAATGCTTCACTATTCGGCATCCTGGTCCTCAAGGAAGGTAATAATAATAACAACAATAACATGAACATGAAATAGGTAAAGCCATATTTCTAATATACATAAGATATGACACGACGCTGTTAATATAGAAATGTAAAATGGGAATCCCATGAAAGATCGCTGTTAAATAATATTCCGAAGTATTTAGTAATGTCCACATCCTCAATGGAAACGCAACTACAATGTACACAGTTTCACGAGTAGAGAAAAAGCGAATATTCCGACGGAATGCTGAAACACAAAATTTTTTTGTTTGTTCTAAGATTTCTACAGTTGGTTATGAACCAGTTTCTCGACTGAGTGGCATATTTGACCTTAAAGAAATACCGCAGACTTTGACAAGGTTATATGACGCGACACCAGTAACATATTGTCAGCGTACTGATAAATTCACACCCAAATAAAGTCTTTCCTTGGTCATCATTTACGCAGAGATTAAATAAAAGTGGTGCTAAAAAAGCCTTGCGGTACCCCGGCGCTTAGGATCACGCGTGCGCTTCTAAAATTGCTAACCGAAAGGTCGAAAATCCTGTCTGATAAAAAAAGAAAAATATTGGTAAATATTAAAAAAATTAGACGTTTAAAAATCTCTGTAACGCGAAATTAGAGCGCAGCACTTGAGGAGGAGGAGGGAAGTGTATGGAGGGCGGGGTATGCCCCTCCTTTTCCTCCGTACCCTCTCCTCCTCCTCCTCCTCCCCCTCCTCTGCTCCTCGTTCTCCCCTCCCCTCCTCCTTCTACCTTCCTCCTCCAGCCTCTGCTCCCCTCCCCTCCTACTCTCCGCTCCTCCTTCTCTCCCCTACTTCTCCGGTTCCCTACTCCTCCTCCTTCTTTCTTACTCCTCTTCCTCTTCCCTCCTCCTTCTCTCTTTTCTTATCCCCCTTTCCTCCTCCACCTCCTCCGTACCTTCCCCTACTCCTCCTCCGTGCGTGACGTAAATTTTCCCGCAGACAAACTGAATTTGTTCATAGGTGACGTGACACCAAGTCATGTGGCTCATTCCCCTCCCCCCCCTTTCCTGAATTTAGCGAAGGATTGAATTGCTCTTGAGGTCACGTGACGCAAATTTTCCCGCTATATTTGGCGAGGGATTGAAGTGCTTTTGAGGTCACGTGACGTAAATTATTCCGCCAATTCTAGCGGAGAAACAGAATTTATTTAAAGGTGACGTGACACCAAGTCATGTGATGTCATTTTCCCAGCTAAACTTAGCGGGGAATTGAATTTATGTTGAGGTCACGTGACGTCAATTTTTCTGCTAAATTTAACGCGGTTACGCCGACGACGACGGCAACGGTGACGCCGATGGTGACACCCACGCCGCTCAGCCCTGAAACGGGCGCCTAAGAGCTGCGCTCTAGAAAAGGGTGCTATAAAACCGTAGCCAAATATTTTTAATGCGAAAGCATTAACAGTCCCATGGAGCGAACCAACGTCATCAACTTTGAAATCACGCCAAACGTTGGCCAAACGGGACCTAATATCCCCTTTCTCAAGTGAAGCCGATTCCTGATGGATTATGCTTCCATTGGCTGGCTCGCGTCATCAAGGAACGAGGCTCCCATTGGCTCTCATGCGGCGTGATTCCAAAAAAAGTCACCAGACAAGCCTCCTCCATGGCGGCGCAGCGCACGCATCGGCGTGGCCGCCGGTCAGAGGAGGGAATGTTGGCGGCAGAGCCAGAGCCCGCCCGGGCACACTCCAGAGAGGCCGCAAGGACGAGCGCGGCGCGGCCACCTCACGAAAGCGCGCGCTCGGCCTTCCGCCGGGGGAATGTGGCCTTTCACGCCACTACGCCGCAGACAAACAAAGGGAGCGGAAAAAAGACTACCATGCTTTCGCATTCACAACTCATAAGAAGTGCTCAGGCATCCTCGGACTTTTTTTAGAAGAATTTTATGGCAGATAGAGTCGAATTATTTTGATCATCAAGAACCGAAGAACAGACCAAGAAGTAGGAACTGTGAACATGATAAGCAACGCCTTGGCTATTAAAACAGTCAAGGTGTTGCTTATTGCGTTCACAATTCCCACTTCTTGATTTGCTCTATGGTGTTCTTATTAGTGAACGGCTTAATCTCGTAGGCTTCAGGGCAACAATAAGGTGGTTGTGACTTGCCATAGACTGCACATTTTTCTACAGTTTTGACTTGGAAAGGGGGGGGGGGGGGGGGAGATGTTACTGCGAAGGATGCAGAATTCCGACGCGTTCTTACTGTTTTTGCTAATATCTCTTTTGAACTCTTTGATGCTATTCAGGACGACTTTCTTTTATTAATTACAAACCATTTGCCTGTGTTTTCTGTTCACTCCTTGTTGCTATCACTTCTTTACGTTGCGAGGGAAACCAATTTCTATCTCCCTCAATGCCACCTTAAGCGCAGTCACTAATTCACTGAAACATACGAAAACGCAGGAGTTGGCTCTGCATGATCACGTATCATATTTCATGGTAAGTGCTTGGGTATCCTAGTTGGCTTGCAACACAATCTCATTGACTGCTCAGCTTCAATAAGACGCTCCGGATTTCCCAGACTGTTCGTTTCTTAAAATTTTAGTAGACAGTTTTTGTATTGCGTCTAGCAGCAAACGCAAGCGGTGCGAGTAGGCCTCTGCGCTGCGTGCTCCACGCTGCGCATGCGCGTCGTCGCCATTCCCCAGTCCAAGACGCAGCTTGGGGCTCCGCGCGCACTCAGTGTGGAACTCCCAACGCTAACGCAAACGGACAGGGCTTCCCTTTGATCATAAACGCAGTACTAAAACTCACTGGTAATTATATCCCTTCTGCGTACACTAAGGCAAAAACAAAAATCATTGGAACTTTTCCAGCGTTTAGACGACTGCTACGTCGAAGCGCGAAGCCGTACGGAACAGAGGTGCAGTGCTGCACAGAGGTTGAAAGAGCGCAAGTTCCAGTCCTGGCTGGAGGCGAGGAGACAGGCCTACCTTCGACGCCTCGTGGGGGACGACCTCTGAAGTCAACTCCTGGCGGTGCGTCTTGTTGCTTTTTGCAATGTAACAAGGATAGTATTGCGAATAAATGCATTACATATTATTTTAACTTAGACATATACGAGTGAGTTCTTAGAATCCTGAGTTGAGCAAACACCGACTAGAATGACCAAGTACTGCGAACATCCTCCTCTTCCTGTGTGGAACGTAGTCTCAGATTCATGGCAGAAACTTGGGCATTGGACGCGAGTCCGATACCCAGCGTCCTTCGTCGTGTTCATTGGACACGAGGCCCAGCCGAACGCCGAAAGAGCGCTCGTGTTCAATCTGCGGCATATTTCAGTCTGCCCCTGATGACGTCAAAGTTCTAGCGCACAAGCTTTTATTAGTTGGTGTTAGTAGAGTCGGGCTTGCACCTATGGTGACCAACGGCTCAAGAAACGGAGCGCTTGGCTCATTCTGTTCGCACCTCTTGCTATGCGATACGTTCTCATGCCAGAGACTTTATTGCCTGCAGAGCGATAATGAGATGCTATGAACTTTCCGCTAGCGGTGACTGTAGGCGGTAAATGGGCAACGAAAACAGGCATCTTTTTTATCTTCGCAGTCACTCTGACGTAACACGAAACACCTATATGATGACTGGAAGCCCTTAGCCAATGTCCGTTCATGATACCACCACATGACCGGCTAAACTAGTAGTCTGCACACACTGGAAAAAAAAGTTATGCGAGAAAACAGAAATGATTTGGCAGCTGGCCCGCTAGACAATGTCTATAAAGCTCTCTTTTCTGTTTCTAATTTTTTTGTTATTTAATCTACTTTTTCTGTTTCTCACTAACAGATATATTATGTAAAATCACATGTTCTGTTAAAGCAGTTACTGAAAAATCCAAGGCCAGAAAATTTATATAAAATTACAAGTTCTGTTACACCAATCCCTGAACAATCCCAGTACAGACAATTTATGTAAAATAACAAATTCAGTTAGATCTGGTACAGAAAAATATGAGGGAAGATAATTTATACAAAATTACAAGTTTAAAGAAAGTAGTTACTCTGAAAGCCCAGAACAGATATCCCTTGTTTTGGTTATGAAATTTTACATTTTCTCTCGTTTAAATTCATGGTAAAAAAACATTTCGCACATTCATTTATTTGTTACAATTATTTATTTATTTATTTCAACACCCTCCGGGCCATAGGGCATTAGAAATGGGGTGAGGTTTATGAGAATTCACTCAAAAATACAACATAGAAAGCAGTGATGATACTACAAACAAATAGACGAGTATCAACAAAAGTGATGAGTTAGTGCTTCTTTAAGCAGATCAAGTGATAGGATAGTTACTAAAGATTCTTGAGGGTGGTTCCACTTAGAAGACGTTCTTGGTATGAAGGAGTCGTTGTATGCTGAAGTTTTACGTTGAAGAATGCCAACCTTGAAACGATGATCGATGTGCGAACAATGTATGAGTGGTTAAGGAATAATTCATTTTTTAGAGGAACGTTACAGTGACAAATTTTGTAAAAAAGACAAAGATGACATATTTTTCGTCGCTAAGAAAGGAGAGACAGACACAGATATGCTTTCATAGATGATACACTGGTGGTGCGATGATAGTTATAATGAATAAAACGTACTCCGCGATTAGGTGGAACCCCTTGGTTAGTCACAAGCGTTGTATGACCGGGGTCCCAGGTTTATGAGGCGTACTCTATTTTTTGATCAAACTAGAGTTTTGTACAGAAGTAACTTTAATGATATTTGGGCTAAAGAAAATTTGTTTTTAATATGCGAGCATAAAGTTAGCGTTAGCGATAATATAATCAGTATGGGTTTTACATGAAACGTTAGAAGTAAGCAAGCACCAAGATATTTATAAGCCGTCACGGACTGCAGCAGATTGTTAGACATTAAGTATGGTGAAATGGACGGCTTTCCGACGTGAAACCCTCATGTATTTACATTTGTTAATGTTAAGAGTTATTTTCCACAAGTTACACCATTTGGATACAGCGCACAGGTCACATTGAAGTAGTGTTGAATCGGATTCGTTATTTCCTTCGCGATAAATTACACAGTCACCAGCAAAAAAAGAAAAAAACTAATTGAGGATGATTAACACATTGGCAAGTCATTTGTGTAGATAAGGAGCAAAAGTGGCACGAAAACAGACCCTTGTGGAACACCAGAGATAAGAAGACTAAGGAAAGAATTAGTTGCGTTAGCATTGACATACTGAGATCGATTAGTTAAGAAACATGTAATCCACGACGAAACATTAGCATCGATGTTAAGTTTGACAAGTTTAAAAAGTAAGTTTATGATAAACTTTATCAAACGCTTTGGCGAAATCAAGAAATACACAGTCAGCCTGGAACCCACGGTCAAGAATGGAAAGTAGGTCGTTAGTGATCGAAAGACAAAGCTGTGTTTCACATGAGAGAGACTTGCGAACGCCATGCTGAGAAGGTGAAAAGAAAAAAATTAGACTCTAAAAAGTTAACTAAATGAGAATAAATATTGTGCAATATTCGAAGATGGAACAGGGCATAAGCAGAATATTACTTCTATGCTGATATATTGCCACGCGACATCGCGAGTAGGCACAAAAGCTAGTGAAGCATGCATCGTAGAAAAGGTAATTAGGAGTATATTGATACCTTTGCTACTATGTGTGGTTTACTACCTACCGTAGATGCCTGTGTAAACAAAGGTCGCGTAGTAATATTAGCATTAACATATTAGCAGAAAGGTCATCGTTTGCGGACGCCTTGCTCCACCGTCAAATATAAAATCCGCCAAATGTAAGAATAATTGTAATAACTCCTTTTTACTGTGCCCGTTACTAAGCTAAAATGGGAACCACGTATCAGGAAGATGGTTGTGAGAGCTTAATTTCGCTTAGCAGTGGTAGTGAACCAAACGATAAACAGGGAACAGGGGAAACAATACACGGCGCAGGCTTACGTTTTAGATTGCCCTGCTTTGAACGCTTCTTTCAGGCCGTGCTCTCTCAATAATAATAATAATAATAATAATAATAATAATAATAATAATAATAATAATAATAATAATAATACATTTATTCACACATGTAGAATCAACAATGGAATTACGGGTCCGGTCAAAGCCAGCATGGGCTTGTGGGACCAGGCCCTGCAGTAAAAGAATTCGGAAGTGCACATTGTCACGAGGAAGAGAAAAGAAAAAAGACAGTTGCACGAGACAGTGGCAGTGGCACAAGACAAAACAGAGGCACGAGATAAAAGGCATAGTTTCATGAATCCAAACCATCACATGTTGTAGGCTGAGCACTATGCACACGATGCGTTGACCCCGTTGTCTGAAGGATTGTAGCTTGAAGTGATCGAACGACGAGGGATCACTGACACTCATGGACACGAAAGCTTGCACATACCGTAGATTGTAACTGTGTCGCTGTTAAGGTGGCATCGCACACACACACCAAAGTACCGAAGTAAAGTGAAAGAAAAAACAACCATGAGCACATGGAGACTATTGTCTACGTCCTTGATGGGTGCAGGCCTGTGTCAGACGTCTATTTTTGGTATTGATAGCCATCATAAAAGACAACATAGTACAAGGTGCCGGTGCATATCTGAAATTAGGGTTGTATTGGATGCGCGCTGGCCAAGAAGTATGGGGTCAAAATTTCATACCAATTCCGCGTGCTTTATATCATTGCATCGATACGGCAGAATACATCTTTCTCAAGCTTTTCGTCAATGTTTTGTTGGAAGTAATTGCCAAAACCGACTCAGGGATGCTATTGAAGACATTAGGCACATAGAATATACGCAAACTTTCACCATAATGGGTCCTTACATGAGGAATTTGGAAACGAAGATAATTTCTTAGGTCACGAGATGGTAAGGATGGTATAATAAACTCACTGTCCCAAAAATGTCTTCGTATTACAGTCTGAAGGAACAGGGAGTGAAACGTAGGCAATTCCAAGAACGAGAAAAGGTTGACATTTTTTGAACATTCTGTGTTGTATGCAATGCTCTTTAGAGTATTTCGTAGAATTCTGTCAATTCTTGACTGCCATAGAAGGGGGCAATTAAAAAAAATAGTGATGCCATACCTCAGGACACTGTAGGTAAGAGCATGCATTATACATTTTCTTATAGTTAGCGGCATATATGCCTTAATATGGTACATCATACAAGCGACTGTTCTCAGCCGTTGACAAAGGTATGACATGTGGGCGTTCCAAGATAGGTCGCAATCGAAGTGAATGCCCAGGTACTTAATCGTGTTAACATAATGAACAGGCTCACAGGTAGAACATGAGCAGCATGAGTTATGAAGAAAGAGTGGGGCGGTTAAACTCACGCTTTTTAAAGGGTTGCGGAAACAAATAAGCTTTGTTTTGGTTGTATTTACTCGAAGTTTGTTTGCCTGGAACCAGTCCATTACCTTATTGGCATCTACTTGCAGCATGTTAACCGCATGGTGATATGAAATATGTTGAGACAATAAAACTGTGTCATCTGCATATTGTAGTATCACACAGTTCGTCGTAACGGATGACATATCATTCACGTAGATGTTAAAAAGTAAAGGAGAAAGAATTGAACCCTGCGGGACACCAGATGTTAAAGAAACTTGAGAGCTGCGGAAATTATCTATTGACACAATCTGAGAGCGATTAGACAAGTAATTCTCCAAAATGGCATGAAAGGGACCACGAAAGCCGATCCTATACAACTTGTCCAACAGAAGCTTGTGATTCACAGTGTCAAAAGCCTTAGCAACATCGATGAAAAGAGCACATGCGTACATATTTTTGTCAAAAGTTGAGTGTAGTATGTCCGAAAAATGTTCAAGTAGGTTAGTAGTACCTCGACCAGATATAAATCCGTATTGATTTGGTGTGAATATTGCGTGTTTTTCAAGGAAACTGGACATTGCAACAAAAATATGCTTCTCTAATATCTGGGAAATGGATGACAATATTGATATTGGTCGGTACGAGGAGACTTGGTTTGGC